CACACACACACACACACACACACACACACACACACACTGAGGCATATATAGATACTTTGCTAGACTTTAAACACAGAAACAAGTGTGAAGAAGACACGGAGGAGACTGAAAGATTAGAGATCATCTGATCCCAAGTTTTAATCCAATGTTTAACTTATCAAATCTTAATCAGCACACAGCAGCAACAATCTGTATTTGAGCTGACTCTGTAACACACTGCCTTTTGTCATACTGACAAAGGTTGGTACAATGAAAACAGATGTTTTTTTAAGTGTTTATTCTGGCAAGCACCATTCGAAATAGAGCAAATTTGTCATGTGCTTATGTTATGTGATGAAGAATAAATTATATACCCATGCAGAATTCCATGTGAAATGTACATATGTATGTTTATTGCAGAAAGGTTAAATGTAACAGAAATATTACTGACTTAAACTTTTTTTTAATTGTTATTATTGATGATTTATTGATCTTTGAACAGTTCTACGTACCCCTCAGGTCTGTTTAGTCTCAGTTTTCGGTCGTTTTACCAGCATTGGCTGGCTTGTATGTAGAAATTTTAAAATCCTTATAAATAGTCTGAAAAGGTTTGGCATGTATGGAGTTATTCCGCACACAGTTTCCTTTAAAGTCATCCCTATAAAACCAAACTGAGTAGAAAAAAACCAGCGATACAAATCAAACTAGGAGGAATACAAACAGAAACAAAATGCTTTTATGTGCATCCAGATATTGAATTGGAAAAAAATATCATGTCGCACTGGATTGGGTTATAAAGCCTGTTTACAACTCCCCCTCCCCCGCCTCCTGTTTCAGTCTTTGAATGTGTGTCCGTCCTTATTCTCAACAGTTTTTCATTTATTGAAAAGGAGCATCTGGTTTCCTGCTGTAGGAAACAAGAGGAGAAGTCCTCGCTCGTGTTCATCGTGTTGATGCTCGGGGCGTCGGTCGGATCCACGCGGGGATCCTGTCGCCCTCACGAGTCCTCACTCCAGTTTTTTTTTTCAAATATTAGGTCCACAGGTTCCTCCACGGGCTCACATCTGACACAAAGAGGAGGATTTTCCCGCTCCGCACAGCCATCTCATACAGTGGTGACCCTCATCACCACTTCTCGATTGGCGGCGGCGCTGATGCGCGGGTCGTTGGGCCTCAGCTGGCTCAGGATGTGCAGGATGGTGTAGCCGCAGTGGTGGTTCAGAATAGTTCTTAGCCTCCTGCTGTGTCGCCCTCGGCCGCTGCTGGCCAGGCCGTGGGGGTTGCTGCGAGAGCTACGGGCGCCGCTTTTACCACTGGAGCTCACTGGGTCGCCCAGGTCTTTAGACTTCTCGTAGTTCAGAACTTTCCACTGCTGGTTGACGGCCTGCCATCGCTTGAAGATCCGGTACACCGACGAGCCCTCGTGGATGATGAGGCCTGGGTGAAGAGAAAGAACAGGCGTGAAGGAGCAGCTTCTGTCAGCATCAGAGGCAGGAGCGCTCGCTCTCGCCTGTGGATGAGAATAGACAGTTGGCAGAAATCGCAGATCAGATCTCTCACGCCATCTGTTCTCGGTGTCGTCTGACTCACAGAAGTCATAATTACGCAACCGCAGTTGACCCAGTCACACCTTAAAAACAGTCTCTTGTACTCTGCAACATCATCACAATTTGGATGCTCTCGGTGTTGCTTTCTCTTCCCTTGCACCATCTGCCACTTTACTTCAGAAACCCTGTGCAGAATGTAAATGCAGTACATGTTTGTCTCACCACTAGTTTGTCCTTGCATAATGCAACCTTTGCTTCGATTAGTGTTGTTGCTCTTACTGCTTGTTGTTGCATAATGCAGCAAGCCCTCTCTGCTCTGTCACCTAACCCCTCTCCCCCTGCCTCTAGCTGCTGGAGCTATTTTCAAAACGGCGGGGTGATCGTGTGTTTGCACATGTTGGTGTCAGCCCTGCATCCCCACCRCCCCTCTTTACCTATGCAGACGATGTCCATGAAGCCGTACATGCCGTAGCAGATTTGGAAGAGCAGGTCCTGACGTTGCCACTTGGCCGAGGGACTGAGGGAGGACCAGATGAGCCAGGAGATGCTGGCAATGAGAAACAGGGAGCCCAGGATGATAGCGGCTATCTGCACCTTCTCGATCACCGTCAGAGAGATGGCCTGCCACTGTGGAGACAGGCACAGAAATGTGACTTTCACATTAAATAACTCACAACTAACAGAAAAAAACCCACGGGAATATGTATTTTTCTATTATAGGACAACCTGCACTGACCACTAAGGAGCTGATTTATCAACACCCCAGAGACCCAGTACTAAATACCTGCACAAATTAAACAATAATCTGTGTTAAATGTGGGTGTGTTCCATGTGATTTACTAAGAACAGGTGCAGCGCTGGTGAGGACCACCCTGTTGAAGTGAGGACCACCCTGTCACTGACGGAGGCAAGGCAGACAACTAAATTCAGAGTTACAGACTTTTAAAAATGTTTATATAAAACTGAGGCGGACAACCCACAGATTCAGAGCATGACTTATTCTAACTTTGATAAAAAAGTTTCATTATTTAATTTTGTTTTAATGACTTTTTGTTTCACTGTTATCTTGAACTTTATTGTGATAATTTAACTTTAAATTAAGCTAACATAAGTTCAGCTATTATTTTCCCTTAAAAAGTTCAAGGACAAACATAATCACATTAATTGTAAATACAGCGGGTAAAATAATTATTGAACACGTCACCATTTTTCTCAGTAAATATATTACTAGAGGTGCTAATGACATGAAATTTTCACCAGATGTTGGTA